CTTTAAGGAGTTGAGTTTAATGTTCAGGGTGATGTTTAACCCCATAAAACCTGACTCAAGACAGAATGGATAAAAAGTAATAACTATTCAATCTGAAGTCTTTGTTTTTCTCTAAACAAAATGCAATCAACAGTTTTACCATAAGACACACGCAATGATGGCGCATTAAAGGGTTAACAGTGTAACCCCACTCACCAATGATCATTGTTGTGTTGTCGTGTCATTGTGTGTTTGTTCCCTTAGAATAAACCTTTATTCCTCCCGAAGGCCAACAAAGGACCAACTACACAGACTGGTTCTCATCAAGGACTCCTCAATTTTTTTTTTTTTACTAGATTGTAGTTTCTGACATAATTGGATGTAGATGTCCCTGAATTTTGCATGCGACTTGAAGAGAAGTGGTTGTTGTTTCAGCTTTTTTCAGCAGCACACGTTTACAGTTTGAGGACCTCGCTGCATTGGGTGGGAGGTCCACTCTGTTTATTTGCCATTAACTTGGCCGACAGACAAAATATAAGCTTTGGTTTTCCAAAAACGTCCATATCAAGGACCTAATTGAGTTTTACTAGGGTGAGCTTAAGGGAAAAAAAAAAAAAAGAAAAGACGGTTCTATCAGGGACTTCTCTTTTACTAGTAGTGAACACCATTTGGGAAGCCAAGAATTATACAATACCAACCTGAACAATGACTGGAACAAGCATCTGACAGACGACAGGACGCAGTTGTGGACTCAACGATCAGACAAGCCAGAGCTTAATGTTTCTTAAATATATAGAAGGAGAATCAGGGAAACATCCAAACCCTGCTGGGCAATGGCCCTCGGGACCTCAGTTCATGAAGGAATTCTTAACTCATTGACTGCCAGCCATTTTCAGAACGAGAGTCCCATACTGCCAGAGTTTTTTGAGCATTTTGACTGATTTTTCAAGAGCCACAGAATAGTTTGTGCTATGACTATGTAAACACCGAACACACCAAAGGAAAGGGTAGACTCTCTTCTTTCATCAGGAAAAAAATTTTGTTTCTACCTTATTCCGTTCTTCCTCGACTTGCGTCTCACCGGCGCCATTTCTCTCATAGCGAACCATTACGTTTTTCTTATTTGCCTACAGTCTATGCTCATCTCCCATCAAAAGTGGCACTGCCACCTAGAGGGTCAATTTGTTACTACATACTCTGTCTAGAAGCCGATATTTACGGACAAGCTTTTGCAGATCGTCCCCCAAGCCACTCGTGTTCAAAAACATAAAAGACGTCTATAGACGTATTTGGCAGTCAACGGTTGTATTTGAATTGACGTCTATAGACGTCTTTGGCAGCCAATGAGTTAAGAAACGGCGTGGGCTCAGCACCTTTTTACCCCCCCGCCAATCCTCAGACCACAGCTGCTTTTTCCAGTGTCGAGCTTTTGTGTTATTTTCTTCGCAATCTCGAACCTCACTCGGGCATCATCTGCAGAGCTTTGAGTGCAGAGCTCCACTCAGAAGATGCGCATGAGGAAACCCATCTGTGGGCTCCCCGGAACGCCCGCGGGGGCTCGGCACGCCCCTCCCTCGTTTTGCAGTTGCCGGATCTCTCCGGAGTTGCGCGCTTTACGCCTCTCATCCCGTATCCTAGCGTCAAAAAACGAAGGCCTTCTGCTCAGGGAAACCTCACCCCACCGATCGTAATGGGTCACGATTGTGTATTTTCATTACCGGGTCCCTGGGTGAGCACGCACCTGCAGAGTGCACGCACGTGTCCGTGCACGTGCCCGGTGGTGTGCGTGTTTCTGGGCGGGCTTTTGGGGGTGATTAATGAGCGGGGCTGGACGGCGTCGGCGGGCCATGACAGCACCACCGCAAGGAAATCATTCCCCCTCTCTGCAGACTGCTGATTCAGAGCTAACGGGAATTCTGCTGATTGCCGAAATCACATCATAAGGGCACCGTTATAATAGCCCCAATCACCGCAACCCAGCTGAATAAGCGAGAGCTGCCATCCGAACGGAAATAAAAGCAGACATTAACAATACCGGCCCGGCTGTTTATGGAGGGAAAGGCTGAGGTCGGAGCGCGTAGACTGGGGTTGCTTCCCGTGGGGAAAAATACTGGACCTGCTCCTAAAAATACGCCCGGATGTTTGGACCCAACTTTCAACAATTATCTCCGTGGCTCCAAAAAGCATCGAAACCCTTTCTAAATGTCAGCAATAGCGTCCATTTGCATAAGGAGAGGAGCCAATAGCGTATTGTGAATAGCAAAATGTCAACAGAGCTTAGCTTTCAAGTTCTGCACGGCCATCGAAACAATGACTGCGCAAAGGTACCGGTGCACCCGGATGAGAGGAACCAAAGGAGGGGATAAAAGGAAAGTAAATAAAGAAGAAAGGAGATATGACATTCACAAAGCAAAGAAAGATCACAGATCTGTTTATTTTCCCTTTATTAAAGCAAATCAGTGAATTTATTTGTCCTTTATATCCATTTAGAACAGAAACTCTTGGAGCTATTCATGAGGTTTATAGCTCATCTTAGGTTTATTAGCAAATCTTATAGCATTTAATCAAGGAGATTATATACAAGAAGACTTTGTTACCTGTCCAGATCACAGCTAATCTTGTAAATATATATATATATATGTATACTTTACACAAATTGGACATCGTTTGCACATATCAGTGATCTGAAATGGAAATGGTAATGAAATGGTAATAGTGCGTAGTAATGCTAATCAGTTTTTGTTGAACAAAAGCTAAAATGCAAATACGTGACTACAGCTTGTGATATTGAATAAAAGAAACAGAATGTCGTGGCTTTTTTCTTTTTCTTAGGGTTGTCGAGCAGTGTCACTTGAGGCAAAATCTTGTCCGTGCATGAACAAAAGTAGCTGCTTTGACTTTAGTCCACAAAAAGGAAGTGCAAAATTAATAATGGAACTGTCCAAAAACAGACAGACATTCTCACTTTGTCTTGGTGCAGAGATGCCGTGTACGGCCTCGGGGAGTTTGCGTCTCATCATCTGTCCGTGTACAAAGTTAGTTAGGACACTTTTCCTACTTCCATTGGCTGCTGCATTGCACCAAAATCTCCCGGCCGGCTCTGTGTCACCGCGGAGCCCCGGGTGCTTAAACGTTCAAATGATAGATCCCAACTGATGTTTTATCTAATCCCACCAAGCAAAGGTGAGCAGAAAGCCCATACATCACCCTGTCACGATCTCTCTGGGCGCTTAACACAGGCTGAATGCTCCACTATGAGCATCCCACACCAGGGACTGCAGATATAAATAGCAAAGCATGCTAAGATGGGTTTTCTTCCTCGTTTTTGGACGGTGAGCCTCACGACTGTGTGACTGTAACACTGTATCACCACTTAAAGTGATACTCTAAACCCTACAAGGGATATTTAAGGTTTTTCTCACTGAATAAATCCCAGTTTGAGGTTGTTAGCCGCTAGTAAGAGTGCAATCGATTTCATCTGGAACTTTAAAAATGCATGTATTTAACAGAGAAGAATAAAAAAAATGGCTGAAATTTGGACACACCAGCTTCCTCTTGTCAAATTTCTTGCTATAAGGCGTTAATTTGGTTTGTTTTGTGTGTGTAGTATAGGTCTTTTAGTTCCCTCTGAAGTCTGTAAATGACCCTGATGGTCAGAAACCGGAGAAGTGGGGCGGTGGAGCTCCTGGTTCAGTCGTGACTGGACACAGTGACCGCCGGCCGCTCAGATGGCTCGGCCCGCTCTGTTGACAGGTCTTCTGAGAGGCCACGCCAGTGTCATAGTAGAGAGAGCCCCCGGGGGGGGGGGTCAGTCATACAGCTGACATGTTTTCCAAGCACAGAGATGTGGAGCAGAATAGATTAGCCCCTGAATGAATCCCCAAACTCCAAATCTAATAAAAAAAAAGATTAATCGATGTCAGCTGTGAGTAATTTCCTTTTAACCTAATCGGTTTTCGGCTGTGGATGGTTCACCACGTACAATACAAGACAAAAACTGGGTGAAACAAGATTTTTACATCTGACAAAGTAATAAAGGCGTCCCAATCGTGGCTCTGTTTTCACAGTCTCCCAGTAACGAGGGCTTTTAGATTGCATATATCTCATTTAGTACTGCTGGGTTTTGTGGTATACTGATATTTTCTAGCCTAAAAGAAATTAAAACAATGTAAAAAATGATAATCAAAACACATGGAGAGAGTATTCATTCTAAATAGATTGCGTCTCATACAGCAGATGAGTGAAAACGTTAGATTTCCATAACGTGTGAACATGGCTCAGTGCAAACTGCAGTTCAAGTTTAATTTTTGGAGAGCCACAGTTTGGAGCAACTCCAAAAAAACTCTTCAAGGTGTAATTAGATTGAGCGCTGGGATTACAAGCTTTGCTGACAGCAAGCCAATATATCATCTGAAAATCATGCAGCTCATTGATAATGACTTGTTTGGACGCATTTTTTTCCTCGTTTCGATCTGGATTGTTAGCTAAAAGTCTGTTATTGCATAATCAAATTCTAGAAACAGGAGCTTCGTAATAAATCTGATGAGTGATGATGGGAGTTTAAATAAAGCTGTGTGTGTTTCACCATTTGAGGCTGTCAAAATAGACTTTTGCTTTGTAGTTTTTAATGGCTTTAGTTCTTTACACGACATGGGAAATAAAGTCATAATCCTGATTGAATGCAGGTGGTCTGAAAGGTCCACTTGGCACAGGTGGTTTGCTGTGAATTTCTTTTTCTTTTTCCAATTTTAGGGACACCTTCTCATCGGTAGAAGGCGCTTTCTGACAGCCTCAGTGGGAAGTTGGCTGCCTCTGTGTAAAAATAGTCTTTTAGAGTCCCTTTTGGTCTGCCAAGAGGAAAATTCTGCAGCCAGTTATTTCTGACAGGTTGGCTTCAATCAGTCTAAACCTACTTTTTCTCTTTCTGTCCCCACAGGGTGATGCTTTCCTCCACACAGTTCTGAGGATACTCCCACTTAGTTTCCACACCAGCTGTGTAATAGCTGTGTGGGTATTCCAATGGAATTAGACCTCATCTTTGATCATTAGATTTCTGGTATCTTGAATTTGAACATCAGAAAAAAAAACTAAACCAGTAGCACCTGGCGCAGTTCAAGTGCAGTAGAACGGAAGCAAAAGACGGATAGGGACGACCATCCCTGCGCCGAGATGGACGAAGCGCACAACAACAGGACTTCCCTGGTCAAAGGCGCCAAGGACATCGCCAAGGAAGCCAAGCGGCACGCGGCCAAAAACCTCAACAAGGCCGTGGACCGGGCCACCGACGAGTACTCGTCCCACCGCAGCTACAACCGCTTCCAGAACGAGGATGAGGACGAGGACGATGGCCGCTACCCCGCCGCCAACGACGATGAGGACGACGGGGCCTCCAGCGACGCCACCGAGGGCCACGACGACGAGGACGAGATCTACGAGGGCGAGTACCAGGGCGTGCCGGCCCAGAGCGAGGGCAAGGCCCGCGACGGGCAGGTGGCCCTGGGCCAGCCCGTCTCCGACAGCCTGAAGAGCCGCAAGGAGCTGGAGAGCGAGAGGCAGGCGGACGAGGAGGAGCTGGCCCAGCAATACGAGCTCATCATGCAGGAGTGCGGCCACGGCAGGTTCCAGTGGCAGCTGTTCTTCGTGCTGGGCCTGGCGCTCATGTCGGACGGCGTGGAGGTCTTCGTGGTGGGGTTCGTGCTGCCCAGCGCCGAGACCGACATGTGCGTCCCCAACTCGGGCGCCGGGTGGCTCGGTAAGGACCCGCTTTACAGAGGGGAAATCCAACATTTATGTCAGGGTTATGCCCCTAAACACTTCTAAACTCATTGCTGTAAGAGGACAAAAAGAGACACAGACACAGTAAGTACAGTGAATACTTGCAAGAAGTGCAAGGAGAGCACCGGAGACCTTACAATCTCCAACCTACTCTAAGGTCTCATGCTCCTCCCCTCTCCATTTATTTGGTTCCACTCTATCACAGATTTGTTACATCATCTCCTCCAAAGACAGTGGGGACACACATGTTTGATTGGACATTGGTCTTAATCACAGGATGTACTGATTGAACAGGAAGACAGCCGATGTAACAGGAGGAACAAAGTCCAGTTGTTCCTCTGTTTCAGCTGCCAACATAGAGTGTTGTCTCAAGGGTCACTGCTGTGGTCAGAAGACCCCATTATATGCAAAACAGCTTGTGCTTATGACATACCCTTCTTGCTAACACACAAGCACAGTTAACCCAATTACATACACACTCACATATGTAATTCAGAGAATGCATGATAACTTATTTACCATTATTCTAACAATTTACACAGGCCGTTTGTGAAGAATGAAAATAATCATCCTTTTCCCAAAGCTAATGCCTTGAAAGTTTAATCAAATCTGAACAATTTTGTAGCTTCTGAATCAGTTTGGGATCATTGGCTTCATTAAATTCTATATTCTTCTTATTTTGTGAATTAAGTTCAAAACAGACAGATTTCAGTCCTCAAAGATGCACATACACCCTCAGTTAGGTTTAAACTGAGTCCAGCTCTCCAGTCATTCATCCAGATCTGTTAAAAACATGAAAATAACTGGAAAAACGTGCAGGTCAGTTTGTCCACACGCCCAAAATGTATCAGAACAAACCCCTCGTGGCCGGTCATGGTCATCATCTGTTTTCTGTCAGGCAGATTTCAGACCTCCCTCCCCTTATAAGCAGCAGAAGTTGTAACCATGGAGATCGTCGGTTCGGTATCTCCCTCCGTGTTGCTCTCAGCTCCCTCACACGGACAGAAGAGCTCTCCTCTAAAGACAATTTGAGGATCGATTCCAAAAGAATGAAAAAAAGCAAAGCTCAGATGAAGCGTTTAGACTTTTTTTTTTAATAGTTTCACACCACTACAGAGCAGCTCTTTGTCCATTTTCACTGGCCCTTTTCAACAAAACTACCAGCCCAACATAACACAGAGCAGCCGGCAGCTCAGTTTGTTCCTGAAATGTGCGACTGACTCCAAATAGTGTCTGTTTGCAAAGACCGAAAAGAGAGAGGGGATTAGCGGATGAGAGCTAAATGGAAAAGGAGTCGGTTAGGACATTTTTTTTGGGGGGGAAGCACTTTGTGTTATGAGAAAAGCATTGCCCCGTTTTAAAATCGGTGAAGTTTTGTCATTTTTTTGTCTGAGTAATTGAAAGAGTAAAAAAGCCAGGATGCCTGAAGGAAAACCCTTTTAGCTGTACTTGATTAATCTGCACAGTGCATCTTGTCGTTTTCGGGCGTACGTTGCCTGTTTGTGTGAGTCCTGTGAGCCTCTGGAGAGGGAGAAGAGAGTCGTGATTCTGCTAAACGCTGTGGATAAATATCAAATTAACAACATCCTCCATGAAAGTGAGTGGATTTGTACCTCCCGTCATCCCCTCCTCCCTAACTGAAAGCTTTTTTTTAGCCTTATGAGCACCAGTGACACCTCAGAAGTGGCTGCTTTGATGTAGGAACATGTGTGGGGATGCAGCACATTTATTTATCTGTTCATTTCTTTATTCACGACTAACCGAGAGAGGAAAGCGAAGCAGTAAAACTTAACAAAAAGTTTCTCACTGCTTGACAGATTAAAAAATGGGCGTTGTCTATAATGCTTTTCATTGGTCGCATCAAAGGTTTCCCCTTGACCACTCTCTACTTTCAGCCAGGTTTCATTCTCACAAACACAGCACAGACCCACTCTGTAATCTCTATTAGAGCAGATAGGGAATCAGACGTGTGCACGTTGGGGTAAAACGTGCACCCGGCTGTTGGCAGGACCTGGTTTGAAAGCACTCCCGATAACGTTTGTCCTCGTTTTTACGTTATATGAACGCCAAAGGCAAAGCTACAAATTTTGTCCTTAAGTAAGGAATAGTTAAACATTTTTCTCTTTGATCTCATTTAGCTCGCAGCAGGGCACGGAATCAAAAGGTAACACGATGGCTTCTGTAAACCGTAAAGAGCCCTGATTCACACTCGCTGAATTTCACAAAACTCCCCATTTTGTCTGACGGAGGAGATGGAGATGTATTGAATCGGCCCGCTAACAGACATAAACAGACATGAACCTCTGAGTGTTGACGGAATTCGTGGTCTTGACAGTTTGTGCTTTTCTGCACAGCGAGTGTTGGTGGGGCACACTTTCAGTAATAATCTCATTTCTGTGGATGCTGCCAGCAGGTTGTCATGGCACCAGGTATTTGAATACACGAGTAGGAGGTGTGATGACTCCCACTCTGGGGAAAAGTTGTGTGTCTTTACAGCTGAATGTGTGTGATTTGTCAGTGGTTGTTGCTTTTTTTTTTTACTATAATTTGTTTTTTTTTCTCAGACTGATATGAGAAACATTTTCATTTTCTTAATACTCTGTGCTAAAACATCTGTTGTTTTCTGTCAATGCAATGTGACGGGTGACAGCAGAGAATGGGAGCCTTGAGGGAACAGGATGGTTTGGTATTCACCCTGATTTCTCCCGTATTCTGACTCATCTCTCTGTGGGTGAGGAGGGAAAGAATAGAAAGAATGAGTCATTTTACCAACTCGCTTACACATCGCATAAATAATGGATGTGTGTATGTTCTCACTGGTGGAGAAAAAACCCCTCAAACAACAGACTTGAAAGGGGCCTTTATCGCGTTTTCTCCGAGCAGGTCGGAATTATGGAGATTTTGGTTAAACGGACAAGATAAAAAAACTAAGCAAATACAAAAAAAGAAAAACAGAGGCAAATTTGATGTGTTGGACTCAATTTAAAGTCGAGTCATTACGGTTTCTTTTTGTTTTCTAAGCGGCTTATAGACAATTTTCCTCTAATGAACCTAGAAGTTTGAACTCAGTTCGGATGGAAACCTCAGTTCATGTCCAAAGCTGCTCATTTGTTCCGATCCATGCATCCCATCCTGTGTATTCCTGCTCACACGTGAAAGGAGTCAAATACCTGTTGGATTTAGATAAACGCATCTATTAGCAGACATTAAGATATCTCTCTCTTATCTGTTCCACGCTCTCTTCTTTTCTTGGTAATTTCATCTAAAAGGTGAGATGGCATCCAGATAAAGGATGTTTGGCTTTTTTCTGTCGTCTCCTGTCTGGCCTTCCCTCCCCCCCCCACCACCCGCTGTAATCCCTTTATTACAGCGCCTTAAAGCCTCTTTGTGTTTCACAGCCATCATGGCGATGTGAAGATACGGGCTGGAGTTAATCTCTGCAGTATTGTGCTTCACTGCAGTTTAGCCATGGTAGACTGGCTCACGCACCTCCCCGGAGGAAGAGGGGGGAGAAGGGGGGCAGCGCTTTCCTATTAAAGCCCCCCCCCCACCCGTCTCCTCCGCCACATATGGCTCGATTGCGTCTGTGGGTGTTGTGCTGCCTCGCTGGTGCTGTTTCGGGGGTGTTTTTGGTGAAATGAAGCGAGGCCGGAGGTTTAGCGGGGAGAGAGAGGAGGCTCTTTCCCACAACCAGACGGACGGCGTTAGCTCACAACTCAAACAACTGCAGATGTGTTTATCCATTTACTTCCCCGATGCGCCAGCAGAAACAACTCCTGCAGTCACTCAGTTTCTAACACGTTGGCTTTTCCAGAGCTGATCAGACAAAATTACGTCAATAATCATGTTTAAACAGAGGAAAAATTTATTTAAATTTGGCTGTCTCTATCTAGCCTATCTAATTTTCTTCTTTCTTTAGAAAAAACAGTGAAGAGATATAGTTTTTCATCTATTTAATCTTCGTTTGACTCCAAGGAGATCTGCAATAGGGACTAAGGGTGCAAAAGCGTCTAATTTGTCTCTGAGCTCAGAGATCTTTGGAAAGAGGAAGATTTTTTCCATTGTATGTGTAGTATCAGTCTTTGTGATAATATTGCTACCCGTTGGCTTTGGAAAAAACAGCTAAAAAGTCCTAAATCCTTATTAATTTGAATTAGCCTGTTGAAAAAGTCCAAAATTTGGATATTTAAGGGACAACACCGGTATTGTTCTTGATGGTAAGGACAAACTTTCACATTGTAAGACCAAAAAGATGGTTCTCGCTGCTTCTAAGACTTGCTCGGAGCTCTGAGTTTCTCGGGCACGTTCATCCCCTCTGCCATCACACTGTTCAGTATTCACGTGCACTAAACGACGTGCGCCTTTCAGGTCAGTCTGTGAGACACGTCCACACTGCAAAACCGTTCACCGGATGTCCTTTTACACGCGTTCTGTGCGCTTTATTGTCCTTCTGCAAACAAAAAGTCTGGTCCCATTTCCCATATATAACCTATATATTAATTTAAAATTCCTGAGATTACTGATTTGTATTTAATTTAGTGTAATTTCCTATTTCAAATATTTTACTGTCACTTTTGTATTTTGCCAACATGCTGCTATAACAAGTGAATTTCTCCACTGTGGGGTTAGTAAAGGACTATTCTGTGTACTCAATTCCAGGCTGATTAAACTTTACAGCCTCTGTCTGACTCAAGGTGTGAGTAAGAGAACAATTTTAAGTTGCGGATGTCTTTTGTGCCGAGAAGTAACTCATCAGGTGTTAATGTAATTAATATCAGAGGAGTGTGCTTCACCCTGGGGGGTCTTCTCCTCCTCCTCCCCCTCCTTCCTCGGCTCATCCCTCCCCCTAACTATCACTCATACGCGTCCCTCTGGGAGTTGAAAATCCCCGCTCTCCTCTCATCCACGTCTCGACGTGGCGAGGGGAGAAAACAGAGCGGAAACCGAGGCGTCACGAGAGAACGGCGCCGCCACAGAAGGGCTCATTACTGAGGAACAGCCCGGCGTGAGCAGAGACTTCTGAGGACCACTCAAGAACTGGCTGAAATAATCCCTCTGGGCACCGGAGAGAGCTCCATTCAAAGCAGCACAGACGGCGTCCTCTGCCTGAGAAAATACCGCCACTACGCTTTTTTCTGCCCGCCAAAATCAAACTTATGGAAACTTATTGAAACGAGCGTTGGTTTAAAGCATATCCGGTTTGGTTCTGGTGATCTCTTGACTCTTTAATTTGTGCATTCTCACTTCTCATTGAGTCACAGTTTCCTTTGAATGAGCCAAGAAAGACAATGAATGTAAATCCCCTCATTTAACTTAAAATCCTAACTCTCTTTTTTCACATAATAAAGGCAGCCATCTTTGGATTAGATCCACTACAGAGCCACGGCTAAAAGTTTAACTCTTCATTTTTCAGTGCTCAGACTAAAGAGAAACAACATAGTGAGTCAAAAGTCCCAGGCTGCTGAAATTAAGGCGATGTTCCCTAGTTGTTTTCTGTGTTGATAACTTTTTAAAGATGTTTAAATTCTGATGTCCATTTTCCTTCCCATTGGAAAAAGTTGTTGTGGATCCAAGTTCTTTCAGTGGGCGGCCCTGTTCTAGACACGGCCTAAAAGATAGTTCCTCCACTCTTTACTCACAGGGTTCTTAGATATGTCATTCCCCCCGTTTAATTGTGAAATAAACAAGAGATTGATTTAGTTGGGATTATTGGTCATGTTTTTCCTCCAAAGGCAGAAACAGCTGATGGTTCAGAACTGACCATTTTTTGGATTTTTCCACCACCTGTTCACATGCTGCTGTTTGCATTTAGGCTAAAGTGCAAAGGGCCGCTGTGATGGTTTTATATGGGCCCTTTGGTTTGATTGCCAAAATGTGGTGGACTGTCCATTGTGCTGGTGAGCATGTGCTGATTTGTGAGGATATAAACTAACTTATGACAGCTGACACTTCTGATTTCTGTAAAAACTCCTATGATCCCGTAAGAGGTAGGGCATTAATCCCAATCTCTTCTGAGTTTTCTGCATATGGACAAACCCTCCTGTAATACATCGTCTCATGAGATTGAAGGAGGAGCCAATAAAGGTTTTCTCTGCACAGTTTAAAATGCATTTTAGTAATGTTACACCTCCCAATACGTGGTATTTCTGTGTCTAATGCTGAGACACAACAAGACTTCATGAGTAGCTCTGTAGCAGAGCGAACAATATCAGAGGTTTTAAAAAATTAGACAGCGCTGTTTGAAACCCACGCAGTATATTTCTCTTGCTTCTCTTCTTTGAGCACGCAAAATCATTTTCCACGTTTTTTTTAACTGCCCCTTGCTATTTTACACGGAAGCCCTTAATGGTCTGACCTGAGTCTGAACCCCGCAGGAAATGACAAATCCAATCTCAGAAGCATTTGTACCGCGTACCTCCGTGCCTCATCGCCCCCCGTCGCCCACCCCCTTTATTACACGCACGGACCCAGTTGTGAGCCATAAAGCAAACGAGGTGGCACTCCCAGATAGCATCTCCTCCAGGACACGCATTCACAAATCAGAGGATGTCCCTCTTCCATATCGGCTGGATATTGCCCAGCCACCTCCTCTTCATATCCTGCCGCCTGTCGGAGAGCCTCCACCTCTGCAGCTGGATACAGATCCAGCTGCTGTCACCTGTAATGAATCACCGGCCCTCTGCAGCACGTCTGCTCAGCCCGATAAGACCCCTCTACTCTCAGCGTATCGGCCCCATCGCCGCAAACTCAGCAAAAGGAGAAGAAAAAAAACAACTAAAAAAACAAAGTGGCGCTTTCTGCCCCATCAGGCTATCACATCTTAGCCTTTTTCATTAGCGCGTATAGACAGAAGTGGACTGTTTATGGTGTGGTCAGCCCTCGACCCCGTCCATGAGTTTGTGTTGTTGGGACGTAGGGAGAGAAACGACCACAGCTTCTTGCAAAAGGGAGGCAGCTGAAGCAAAATTCTGAGTTTAAATGCCAACTGTGAGGTCACCAGCAGTTTTCTATTGCTTTAAAAAACAGATTTTGTGTTTGTCAATAATCAAACTGGATTCTTGCCCGAAAAGTCACATTTACCCGAGACATCTTTTTCTTGGCTAACTTAATGGGTTTCTTCAGGGTTCAATGAAATGTCTAAAATTGAAAACATTTGTTTAGATAATGGACTTTCAGTAGTTCTGCATTTATCTTTGGTGAGTTTGTACTGTGTTTAATCTGTGGGTGTTTATATGTTGATGTGTCGTTATGAAGAAAACAGCAGGTTAATTTATATTAGATTAGATTAGATTAGATTAGAATAGATTAGATTAGATTAGATTAGATTAGATTAGATTAGATTAGATTA